TGGCCAGGATTTTTGAAAAAAAAAACTATTATGAAGAAAAATAATTTTGGATTTTAATTTAATGTATATATGTGTGTAATTTTTAATTTTTGAAAAGTAATATTTTAATTTTAAAAAATGTGAGGCCGAACAGATCCCATACATTTTAAAATTTTAAATGACGAGACACAACACTACAAGCAATGCACATATCCCAAAGAATAGGTCATCACTTGTCAGTGGGCTTGATTAAATAAACTAAGAAAGTTTATTACATCTGTTTGGTATACGAACATTTTTATCTATGAGTCGACAAGTTTCTCTATCTAATATAATGATTAGATAGGGTTTATATTATCTAGGTTTTTTAGTTCTCTGCAGAAGCAAGCTCCTATAGTTAATTACATTTTAAGCGGTTGAAGTCACTTTAAAAAACTCTCGATAATGACCAGAGATGTTTGTTTTCAAGAATACAAAGTTTAGTGTTCAAGCTAGGACATACAAAACCAAATAGGAATGAATCAAATAGGAGTAATTATTTTTGGAATCTAAAGGAACGAGAAGTAGATGAAGACATAATCATGAGGAGATCCTCGGTGACTTCCCAAAACTATCCTATGATTTGACTTTGGTTTTGAAGATGATATTACTTGATGTTTCATCCTGTCACTTTTATTTCTTAGGGCTTACATTTTCATGATATCTGATAATGTAACTAGCCTAGAATATAGGAGGATTTATGTCATATTGAATGACAACCTCGGAGTCCTAAAATAGTTAGGGCTTAAATTGTGCAGCATGGTTGTGTAAATGCCTAAAGATAAATTGAGGATTTACGTCGGGCTAGACGAGCTACCTCAAAGTCCAATGAATTATTGCTATTAAAGTAAGGAAAATTTTGCTGTTGAAGGCCTTTTCGCGCTGCCCACGAAGTCTACTCTAAGGTCTTTGCGATATAATAAGAACCATGGTTTGGGCCATCAAATTTCCTTCCAAAAGTGTTCCCCGCTTGTAGGTTTGGTCATGTTGTTCTTTTGTCATGGTCAACGTGGTCACGCTGCCCTGCTGTAACTTATAGCATGGTCATGCCATTTTCAGGCGTGGCTACGCCAGCTAGTTTGATCAATGGCATGATCATGTCGCCTTTAGGTGCGACCACTCCGCTTCGAAGCATTTTCTTACTGCATCATGCAGATTCTCATTACATCTCGTTCGAATTTAATTCCTGCAACCCGCACAACATAATCAAAATACATTTTTCAAGCATAAATATATGCTAAATAAATAAAATTAAGATGTAAAATTTAGATAAAATAATAGATTAAATGATGTAAAATGGACACATGTCAATTACCACCGATAATATATCATGATTGAAGTTGACATAATACATATAATGTTGCATGACTTTCCGAAGGCATCGACGGAGATCTAGTTGTGACAATGAAAAAAAAAGGTGGTATCAAACATGTGCTATATTATACTTATTTAGTGCGCTGATGGATTTTCCTGACACATATTACTTGTGTTCTCCTACAAAGCGAGCCCTAGTATGTACTATGTTATGGAGACCAGAGCTCTCATGATGAAAGCCCCAAACAAAAGGTGATAGATAAAATGAAGGAGCTATTTAATCACATAAGACGATCAATCTAAAAGATCATTGTGCCACAAAACAAATGATAGTGGATGAGGATTCAAACATTCCATCACTGACACATTATGACCTTGTAATATCCAGTTCGATGTATATGGTTCTTTTATCTGGCACCTACTACACTTGGTCTTCTTATGATTTCACAACTATTAGGTATTTTGGAGCTCGTCTTTCTTAGGTGACATCAGACAGCTTACCGTTATAGTAATTTTGGGGGTTTTGTGCAAATTTCATATAAGAGAGACAATTTATGTCATATTTCATGCACTAACCAAGTGTAACTGAAGAGGAAGGGTTTGTATTAGAAGATTTATATTGTACATTTTTCTTGTCTTTGCCTTTATTAGCAACTTTTTATTTATTGTCTTCATTTCTTATGATCCACTTTTTTTCAAACATCCATAACATTGGGCTATAAGTCAATTCTTTGCACTTCATTAGATTGGGTTCAAGGCTCTGCTTAGTAGACATCACCTTTAGTATTAGGTTCTGAATCTGCTCGACTTCCTATGATATAAGCCCTCACCTCCCAGACTTTCTCACGATATATAATTGTTGGGATATAAGTAATAACTTTCTAATAAAATAATTAACCTCAATAAAAAAAAATTTAATTTTAAAATCATTAAAGTCTGTCCATAATATAGTAAAAGTGCTATTGAGTTTCGCAGTATCCAAGCACTCCCTATTTATTCTCATTTTGGGCCTCAAAACGTGGTGTTTCTAATTGATCTATTTCGATTGAAAATCCTAATAACAATCTCGAAAACCTAAGTTCGAACCCTTGGAGACCTTAACCACATTTTGAATCGAGAATATTTTTTGAATTTTTTTTATTAAGATGTAATTAACCATAAGAACTCACTTTTATATGAACTTTGTAACCTAGATTAAAATAAATGATATATACTTTTAATTAAACAAGAACAATTTTTCCGGTTAATGCAAATCCATCAACTTTGAATCAAAAGCCTTATTTGAGTGAAAAAGTCTTTTAAAGAGTGATATTTTTACATTCAATCAACAAAATTAAATAAATATTTTCAAAAATTGTCCGTGTTCATAAAATAAAACCAACAATGAATCAATGCACCTGATGAACCACTCGAAACTGGCTCAATTAATATCCAGTGATGTTTGTTCAAATTAGTAAATAATCAAATTTGAATATTTTTAAAACTTATTGGTTAAAACGATTAAATTTGAACAGGATCCAACTTATTCATTTGTGTGAATGAACAAGTCCATTTGTTGTTCAACAAGTTACATGTTAAACAATCTATATTGTTTTTATATAGTATTTAAATAAAATTTTATTAATTAAAACTTATTTAATAATAACATATTATAATTCAATATAAATTTGATTATAAATTTAATGAAAATTTCCCCATTTATTTATTTTATTAAACTAGTTTGTTAGTTTTTTTATTTGCAAGAAAGTTTACTTACAACTTATATATTATGTTATACACCTATTATAAATTTGTTAAATGTTAATTTAAAATTTATTTTGTTTATCTAGATTTGTACAATAATTTATTTATAACTTTATATAATATATCAACACTGATTCAAAATTTTAGCTTATTTTTTAGGTTTACATAAAAAATCTAGTATAATTAAAATTTTAATCTAATTCAAACATTTTATACTTATTCAAAATTTTAGTTCGTTCAACTAATATAAGCATACTAAGTATAAATCAAATATGATCATAGTAAAATCAAATATGATCATTGTAAATTTTAATCTAATTCAATTTATGATTCGACTAAGCTAAGTTCTTATGCATATTTTACCGTAAAATTTTCACACATACAAATATATGTATATATATAATTTATCATGTAGTTCACACCTGATTAGGAGTGTAAACGAGCCGAACACCAGCGAGCCCAGGCTCAGCTCGTGTTCGGTTTGTTTATATTTCGAGCTCAGAATGTTTGTTCATTTTTGGCTCAATTGACAACACTAATCATGTAGCCATAAGATATTAAGCGTTAAGGACAAGATTTAAACATTATTGTTTATATTAAAACATCATTTGAATCTAATTTAATAAATTTTATTTTATTTTCTTAATTAATAATTTTAATTTATTATAAATCTTTGTAGCCTTGTAGTCAATTAATTTTTTTTAAAAATACTACTATATATATATATAATTGATGAGTAGTATTTCAAGCCAAAACGAGCCAAACACGAATGAACAAATCTTTGTTTGTGTTAACGAGCCGAACACGAGCCTTTCGCGAACAACGAGTCCGTTTTGACAGTCGTACACCCAATGAATAGATGATAGAACATGAGAGGAAGAGAGAGAAATTGGGTGCTAAGCAAATCAAAAGTTATCGTCTTTTTATCACAAATTGATTACTATTTTATTGCAGAAATGTCACTCTATTTATATGCAAAAGTGGACACAAAATGCAGAATTATCTGTTTACCCCTATTTTAATAAGGGTGCTGCTGAGTAATTCAGTAAAAGTAAATAAATAAAAATTTGAATACACATGTAAATAAAAAAATTAAATAAATAAATATTCAACTCAACCTTTCCTCATTTGGTGACCAATTATCTTCAGGTCGGCGAAAGACTACTCGATAGACTGTCGTGTCTAAGTTATTGGCCAACTGAATACTTAACTATCAGTTGAATCTTTGACTGGTTGGCATTCAATTGGCCGATTGGTTTCTACAGTCTGACGATTGTTTTCGAACTCTGCTATAATGAAGTTCAGTGGATTGACGCTATTGCCTTCTATGATGTGCACCTGATCGCCTGTGGGTTCTCTTTTGACCGCGCTTTCTTTGGAGAAATATTTGTGTACATAAGATGTACGCAGCGCTGCGTACATCAGAGGTTATTTTGGGAGTACATGGGAGTTATATCCGGGTTATACCGGAGGTTACAAGGGGGTATAACCCAAATATAACCCCATTGTACCCCCTGAATAACCCCTGATGTACGCAGAGCTGCGTACATCTTATGTACGCAAATATTTTCCCTTTCTTTGGCCTATCAAATTTTCTCATTATTATAAAAAAACATCATCATTATTAATTTTGTTCTTGGTGGTCTTTTCCAAAAACGAAACCTTTCTGCTGACGTGTATTTCAGGAGGACAAATCCGCGGGAACTAACCATTCAGAGCAAATAATCAAATATATTTAAACAAAGAATATTTACGTAAATGCCACCCAATATATTTTTGCGCAATTAAGAAAGAATCATGGGTGGATGTCGGGTGGTGGACATTTATCACCGGATTACCGGCGGAGGACCGGAATCACCTCTTTCTAAAGCAGAGTACATTAGTGTCACCTTCCTCCAGGTTGAAACAGAGCGAGGGAGCCGAATAAAAGAGCGAGCGAGAGAGCGTGAGGCTTCGTCGCTGAATGGAGATGCTACAGAGGTATATCTTCGGAGGCATCGTCGCGTCTCTGTTGGGCTTTCTCCTACTTCTCATATCGCGGGATAAGAAGAAGAAGAAGAACAATGAGCCTGTCAATAGCGGAGATTCGGCGGCGATTCCGATGACTGGCTGCGACGGCGGTGGGGCTGAATGCGCTCATGCTGATGATGAGGTTGAGGCCATCGTCGTTGGTGCTGGTGTTGCTGGATCGGCCCTTGCCTACACTCTCGGCAAAGTGAGCCATCCCTGTGACTTCTTGTTATGATCTTGTTGTGGGATTTGATTTCCTTGCTGCTTTTTGTGTACATCTTCCCGTTGCCCTATTAATATGAATGTTGCTTAGTTGTTTTTTTCAAATCGAATCGTTTTTTTTTTTCTTGGAAAGAAGGTTGGAAATTATGATGGTTAAGGGTTGTTCGGTTGTCCTTGCGGCAGAAGCGGAACAGAAGATCACTGAGCACATGGATTACGGAGGGTAGCTTGTTTATTTTGTCTGATTAGTTTTGCAATGGGTTTTGATGATTCTCTGAAGAATGTAATTAATCTACGTTCTCCCTGTTGTTATATGCGACTTCTGCTTAAGGTTAGGCTGAATGTTTTTTGGAAGAGATTTGAATATCTGCACCTTTGCTTTGGAGAGCAGAGGGGACTGCATAGATTTTTTCTTCATTTGGCGAGGATAAATGGGATTGCATGAAACACTTCTTGATGAATGGCGGCTAAATAGGCTAAATTAGTGATCTACGATGGATGATGAAAGAGATTGCATGGAGCACTTTTGAGGCTACAATAGGGCTGTCAAAATAGATTGAACAGCTGCTCTTTCACTGAGTAAACGAGCTGAACACGAATAAATTTTTAAAACCCGAATTATAAATGAGCCGAACACGAACAACTCTTTTTTCGCTCATTTTAACTCGAAATAAAAAAAATATAATTATTTATATAATACTATATTACATATATTATTTATATAATAATATATTATATATTTATATATACATTTAAATCATAACACCTCGTGTGGTAACATGATTAATGTCTTCTTTTGCATGCATTTGGTCCATGTTTAAATCCAATACTTTACATCTATTTTTTCAATTTAATTTTAATGAGCCGAACACGAACACATTGTTCACGAGCCGATTCAAACACGAGCAGTTTCTAACAAGCCGAACACGAGATAAGCCTGAGCTCGCTCAAGCTCGGCTCGTTTACAGCCTTACGCGGCAAAGCTAACTAGGCTAAATTTTTTATTTTGTGAATGAGTACATACATGCACTACAGATGCCAATTAATGGAATAAAATGTGCCACGATAATATCACTTATTTTTCTCCAAGTATGGTCAAATTTTAGCAATGTGTCGAGTGCGTCCCAATTTTGTTATGGCTGTCCATTCCATCAATAATTGGTCTGCTCATTTCTTCATCACATATTTGAATGCACTGTTTTCAATTGCTTTCTTTATTAACTTTGGGTTGTTTGGGTGCAGGCATGATTCAACGTTGGTAGGATTTTGAGAATCCAACAATAACAACAACAACAACAACAAAATCTTTATCCCAGTAAGTGGGGTCCGCTACATGAATCATTTTTCTCTATTGCGTCCTATTTAGAGTCATATTTTCATTTAATTCTAATAGATTAAGATCATTTTTTATACAATATGCCCATATCTTCCTAAATCTACCTCTGCCTTTCTTAACATAAGTAGAATCTAAAACATCAACTCTTCTAATTGGATCATCATATGGTCAACGTTTGATGCGACCAAACCATCTAAGACTACTCTCTCTAATGTTGTACGTCACTAGAGCTACACCAACCCTATCATGGATATATTCATTTTGCATTTTGTCTCTAAGTTTAAAGCCACTAATCCACCTAATCATTCTCATATCGATAACACTTGACTTAGTTTTATGCTTCTCTTTTAAAGACCAACATTCAGTGCCATAGAGCATTGTAGGTCTCACCTTTATCATATAAAACCTTACTTTCAATCTAAGTGGTACTTTTCTATCACACAATAGACCCGAAGCTTTCCTCCACTTTAACCAACCAACTTGAATTCTACTAATAGCATTCTCATCAATATCACCATCACTTTGAACAATAGACTCGATATATCTAAAGCGTTCACACCTTTTAATAATTTAACAATAGGATTTTGTGAACCCAAATTTATTAAATCCACCCCCTTGTTAGATTTATTAAATTTAGATTTAAGATGAATCGAAGGTAATATTCGGACCTTAAATCCCAAATTTATTAAATCTAATAAATCTACGAAACTTGCACATTCTTTCTCTTTGGCAGGATTTCATAAATCCGGTGATAAATCCGGTTAATAGGCTCTACCAAAAGCTCGTTAGCAACTTCAAGCTATATCCTTATTTTTACAACCACAAACACCATATGAAAATACAATGATTGTTGTTTTTCGAAATATATATTTTCAAACAGCAACCAACTCTTTACAGATCCCTTAGCAACTATTACCAACTAGTTCATGGCTTGTAAGTCTTAGACCTAAGCATGCTAATATGATTTTAAAAAAGATCAAAATTTTTGTAAAGTTTGGATCTTTTTATTGTTTGTACCAGTTATTCATATGGTAATAGTTACAATTTTTTTTTATATAGGGAATACATCATGCTACCTTCTTAATATATCCCTTTCTTCCGCGAGTCCATCTGCTTTCAAATTTGCAGGGGAGGGGAGGGGATGGATCATGGGAGTGGAGGAAACATTTGTTTTTCTTCACCTGTATTCCTATCACATGAGGAGTGTCGCAGGGGCCATTTTTCTGCTTTTCCCCATTCCTATCTTCTTCTGATTTTGAGCAAACGTCTCTCTATCTCTACTAGGTCATTTGCGGTCCCTCTGACTGCAATGACAAGTTTGCTTTTCCCCATTCCTAATGACTGGCTGCGGCGGAGGTGAGGCTGAACGCGTTCATGTTAATGATGAGGTTGAGGTCATCATCGTTGGGGCTGGCGTTGCTGGATCGGACCTTGCCAACACGCTCGGCAAAGCGAGCCTTCCGTGTGGCTTCTTGTTATGATCTTGTTTGGTTTCTGTTGGTGGGACTTGATTTTCTTGCTGCTTTTTGTGTACATCTTTCCGTTGCCCTATCAATGCGGATGTTTCTTGGTAGTTTTGTCAAATCGAATTTTTTTTTTTTTCTTGGAAAGAAGGTTCGCAATTAAGGGTTATTCGGTTGTCCTTGCGGCAGAAGCGGAACAGAAGATTCACTGAGCACATGGATTACGGAGCACATGGATTACGGAGGGTAGTTTGTTTATTGTGTCTGATTAGTTTTGCTATGGTTTTTGAAGATTCTCTGAAGAATGTAATTCATCTACGTTCTCCCTGTTGTTATATGAGACTTCTGCTTAAGGTTAGGCTGAATGTTTTTTGGAAGAGATTTGAATATCTGCACCTTTGCTTTGGAGAGCAGAGGGGACTGCATAGATTTTTTCTTCATTTGGCGAGGATAAATGGGATTGCATGAAACACTTCTTGATGAATGCGGCTAAATGGGCTAAATTAGTGGTCTACGATGGATGGTGAAAGAGATTGCATGGAGCACTTCTTGACGCGACAAAGCTAACTATGCTAAATTTTTTATTTTGTGAATGAATGCATGCATAATGGAATAAAATATGCCCGAAGAGTGTGTGCCTAGTATTTTGGGAGCTTTTACACTCTTACTGATATGCCGCCAACAAATTTTCATCATTCATCACGAATCTCGAGACAATATTTTTAGCAAGATACATTCAAACTTCAATTAAGAGTCATCCAAAGCTCTGATTTCAGTAAACTTATGTAAACTTATGGTCAAACTGACTATGGTCAAACTGACCGACTCGATGAGACAGACCGAATGATATAAAAATTTGTCCAATTCGAGTCAGATCAAGCCCGAATCAAATCATTAAATCATTCTTGGAGGATTTTCGGAGACATTTAGAAGGTCAAACAGTTGTCGAATCTAGGAAGTTCATAGTCGATTCGAGCATCTCGATAAGACAAATCCAACGAGCCCAAGATTGTTGAATTTCGACATCGTTAAGGCACTCAAATGTCTATCAAATATCATCCGATCGAGGGAACTTCTCCAGACCGTTCGATCAAAATGGTCAATATTCCTACATTAATTGCACTTAAAATACTATAAATAGAGCCCCACCCCTCACATGAGGGGGGGGCTGGAAAGAGAACTTGAGGAGAAGGAGCCCAAGTCCAACATCATTCCTGACATCGTCGATCGTCGTGGACCACCACCGACCGTCGGCGACCAACGCCAACCTCCGTCGATCACCGCTGATCACCGCCTACCACCACTGACTAGGCGCCGTCAGTCGACGTTGTAACTTAGAAAATCTAGTAACTATTTCCCGTCTGTGGGGCAAGGGTCCTCTGTAATCATCAACTTATAGTGAATTTTTATAACTGGGTTAGCCCCGTGGTTTTTTTCCTTTACGGGTTTTTCACGTAAAAACTTCTGTTGTCATCATAAGTTGTTTCTCTTTCATCTGAGTGTGTGTTAAATCCTCGTGCAACGCTAAAACGATAATTCATTACTTTACCGCTGCGAATTTTCTAGCATGCATCAGTTTGAAGCCGTTTGTGGGAAGCTCTCAATCCCAACACTAAAGTACTTGCTCAATTTCTTACATGACCACCAGACAAAAGATTCGAGATAACGGAGCACCTCACTTCAACACCCATCGTTCCAGGGAGCAGTCACGAAGTCAATGACAACATGTTTCTTCAACTTTCCGCCCTGGAAGACGTTATCCCGCAAACGAGGGGGTTTCAGGTCCTTCTATGGAAGAACGAATGCGAAGAATGAAAGTCTCAACTGAATATTATACAACTCCTATGTGGGACCCAACAACCTCTGTCAACACCGATAAACAAAACTCGTTACCATTTAATCCACGAACTATGAGAAACCTACCGCACGGAGGAACTCGTACATGCCCCCTCCTCAAGAAGGAACACTTCTTCTGTCAGGTCGTGATGTTGAACTCCTAGATACCGCAAGTTCCATTCATCCATCTCGTGCATCTCCCCCGACATCGCCACATCTTCCTGCGATGATGTCATTCGTAATGAACTACGACGCCTCGTCCGGGAAGAGTTCTCTCTAGAGAAAAAGGATCGCCTCTACACTCACCGTAATATCCATGAATCGTCCCGCTTAGTGGATGCGGTCCTC